TCCTCTTCCTCGTGAACCTATTTCCAAGCTAGACTTGACTCAGTTCAACAAAATTTACTGAGCAGCTGCTGTGTGCTGGGCTCCGTGCCAAGTCAGAGGGGGCAGGGATGAGAGCCTGCATGGTCTCGACAGCAGGGTTGGGGGGCAGCCGTTCCCCCACCTCCTCTCCTCCTGCCTTTTTCTACTTCCTCTTCCTCCCCTCCTCCCCTTTCTCCTCTTCCCCTTCCTCCTCCTTCTTTTCTTCCCCCTCCTCCCCCTTTCCTCTGCCCCACCTTCCTCCATCTCCCCTCTTCCTGCTCCTAACTTCCTTTCCCTCCCTCTCCCCATGCCCTGTCCTGGCACCCACAGCCAGCACTGACGATGGGAGCTGGGATGACCAGGATGGCAGCATCCCAGGAGACTCAGTGACGGGAGCCCCAACGCCACCATCCCCACATGGCAGGTGATGGATGCGACTGAGCACCTGAGACACATTCATCGCACCCACCTCCCTTCGGGACCAAGGCAGGGCGGAAATGACTTTTGTTGGCTCTGGGAGCAACCCACTTCCCCTGGCAGCTCCGAGCTGTTTATTTAAAAAAAAAAAAAAAAAAAGGAAAAAAATCAAAGATAAAGCAAAGCGCCGGAAGGCCACCTTGCCGTGTGCTCAGGGAAGGATTCCAAGGCAATGATATTGACAGCACACCTTGAGGTCCTCATAAAGGGGGCTCTCCAGCCCACGTCCAGGGGTGCCAGAGATGGAAGGTAACAGCCTAGCAACGGGAAAGGAGGCAGAGTCTCTGGGCAAATCGTGTGGCTGCCGTCTTAGCACATGGGGAACCAAGCTTTCTCCAAAGGATGAGCCACCAGGTCACCTGCTCACTCGTTCTTCTGCTCCTCCCTGCTGGAGCTTGAACTGAGGCATTTGTGGGGTCCAGCGGTGGGTTAGGCTCAAGATGCAGAGATTCCTAGGAGTATTCCAGATCACCATGGACTGTTAGTTATCAAGGATGCACATCTGTTAGTTATAGGTCCTTAATTCTTCATCTCACCACTGTTATTTGAGGAGCTAGGTGCTGGGCCCTGGGCCCCGAGCTTTTCTTTCATTCCTGTGACTTCCCCACATGTCAGCACAGTGACCAGGCGCTTCTCTTCCATGCCGGAAGCTGGAAGGGCTTGGCACTGGGAGACCCCGGGTGGCTGGGGCACAGTGAGCAAGAGGGGAGCTCAAGGCAGGAGGCTGGGAAGGGAGTGGGGAGCGTGCGCCCACAAAAGAAGGACCAAAGATGGGGAAGAGTGTGGGTGATGGAGGTAGCTTGCCTACACCACAACCTCAACCCTGTTGTCCCTCCCCCAACCCCCCCACCGTGACGGCAGACCCTCCACCTAGCTGACCAAGGGAAGAAGGAGAAGCAGATGAACACAGCCAGCCCTGTGCCTATCACTCATGGAACTCTTTAACAGAGCATCATTGCCATGGCGACCTCCCACAGATCCAGGGTCCGGGGAGGCTCCTGCCAACCCCAGAAGAGAGAGACATACGGGATGGTTGAAGCTTTGACCTCAGGAGCTCAGGAAGGCAGGGTCTAGGTCCCTACCCATGTCCTTAGAAAAGACCCTGATTCCCCCTCACCTGTCTGTACCTTCCTCCCCCTCTGGGTATCTCCTTCAGGTACCATTGACTTGGCTTCCGTAACAGATTTGAAAGCCCTTTGGGTCACTGTGGTCCTCTCTTTTCCTTCTAAACTGTCCCATGTGGTCGGGGTGGAAATGGTGCTATCCCACCTCAGTGGGCAAGAAGCTTTCCTCAGAGTCTTGTACCAGAATCCCCAACCCCCCCCTTATGTAAAGGAGACTGAATCCCATTGTCAGTTGGAGCAACAGTGTAGAGAAGCAGAATAATGACTAGAAACCTGCATAAACGTGGCCCTTGGCCATATTCAGCCTCCAGCCGCTGGCTTTGTCTGCCTCCCAAGGCTCTGACGTTCATACCCCTTTCGCTTTTTCATAAATTATAACTTTGCCATGGGTGGGCACGGGGTCGTTTCTCTTAGGGGGAGGACAAATAGATTTTATTTATTAAAGGAACGGTTGATGGACTCCGGTCTCTCTCCTGTAAAGATGCCCTTTATTTTATAGCCTATAATTTCGCCTCGCTGCGAGGCTCCTACTTTTCAGAGGGGGAGTGTTTTTGGCTCAGCTGCTATAAAATGCCTCTGCATGAAAGCCAAGCCTGGTATAGTCCCGGAATAGAAACCGTCTGTCCTCTTGTGTATAGACTTGGTTTCGTGTTGATTTTATGAAAATCTTTCCCTTTGGGCGGGGGGTGGGGGGGGTGGAACCGGGTTTTTCCTCTACCCCATAAACCAACCAAGGGTGCCATAGAGCATCCCACTGAGACATATTTGGGTCACTGACTCTCAGAAGCCCCGCTTGGTGGGACCCTCCTCTGGGCTTGGCCCTAAATAAATAAATAACCCCCCGCAGGTCCCCCTCAAGTCTCCAAGAAGCAAGCAACTTATTTTGCAGCAGGCCCTGGGATGGTAGGTCCTATCATGTCAGATACGATGGCTCATAAATCTAAGTCACCCGACCTAACTGCCGTTTTAATCCACTCACACGTACTTAGCTGGGTTTAATTATAGGCAGAAATTGCATTTCAGAAAGCAACAAGAAATCATTTACATGGCTTCAATTTGTGCATGAAGTCCTTCGGTTTATTTGAGAGTGCGGTAGGGATGGTGTGTCCAAAGAAAAATGGTATTAGGGCCTGTGCTTAGCGGCTCTCACACCAACTGCACAGACCGTGTGAATTGCATGGTTTCTACTGACCGCGTGTGTCTTCTTGGCGCAGGATGAACAACGAGGCCAGAGATGCAGAGAGGTCCCAGCCGGCATCGGCCCTGAGCAGAGCCCAGACCATGCAGAGCCAGACCTCAGGGGACAAGTCTGTTTCTCCCCTCTGCCTCCAACGGCAAAAGTACTACCATCTGGGGGACGGGGACGAGTGCGGCAGGCAGAGAAAACCCGCAGAGAGATTGGGGGTGCGGTCTTCTTCCCCGGCTTCTCGGAGTACAGACGCGTCCCCAGTGTCCAGGGAAAAGCTGCCCAGTCCCTCGGCGGCCCTGTCAGAGTTTGTGGAAGGTCTCCGGAGGAAGAGAGCTCAGAGGGGCCAGGGGTCCCCGCTGGGCCTGGAGGACTGGCCCACACTCCCCATTTACCAGACCACTGGGGCTTCCGCGCTGCGGAGGGCCAGGGCGGGCAGCGACAAGGGAGACCTCTCCCTGGGGTTTGGGACAAAGTCAGCCTTGGAACCGGAGGGCACCTGTGGGACGTCGTCCGGACTCCTGCGTTCCACCAGCCTGAAATGCATCTCCTCCCAGAGTGCCAGGGGCACCACCCTGCTGCCTGAGAAGCTGAAGACCCGGTTCAGCTCCTGCGAGTCCCTCTTCGAATCGGGGCAGAGCTCCGGGAGAAAACTGAGCTCCCCAAGCTCATCCAGGTCCATGCTCTTGTCGCCCACGCTGCGGCCTCGGAGGCGCTGTCTGGAGTCCTCCCTCGATGATGCGGGCTGCCCAGACCTCGGGAAGGAGCCCCTGGTCTTCCAGAACCGCCAGTTTGCCCACCTCATGGAGGAACCCCTGGACAGCGATCCGTTCACCTGGAAGGTCCCAAGCCTCAACTATGAACGCAAGACCAAAGTGGATTTCGATGACTTCCTCCCAGCCATCCGGAAGGCTGAGTCTCCCGTGTCCTTGGCCAGAGCAGCCAAAGAGGGTCAAGACAGTTCGCGGCATTCACGCATCCACTTTGAGATGGAGGAGGCCGACCGAACCTTTCTCTCGGGGATCAAGACCATTTTGAAAAAGAGTCCGGAGTCCAAGGAGGACCCCGCTCACCTCTCTGACTCGTCCTCCTCCTCCAGCTCCATCGTGTCCTTCAAAAGCGCCGACAGCATCAAGAGCCGACCGCGAATCCCACGGCTGGAGGGTGATGGTGGCGAGCGAACATCCCCCGAGCACAGGGAGCCGGGGGCAGGGAGCAAAGACGAGGATGTTGAGAGCATAATGAAGAAGTATCTCCAGAAGTAGGAGCCAGTGCAGGTAAAAGCAGCAGGTGGGGACTGTTCTTGGGGAATGAAAACCAGATAGTCCACCAGGTCTGGCAGCCCAGAGAAAACCTGTTGCTGCTGCTGCCTTCCACGCCATGAGTGATTTCTCTACAGACGACGGGTTTTAGAGGTTTTTGTGGAAATAATGAGGTGCCAGATGCAAAGCCTTCTGCTAGGTACCACTGGTTCCTTAGCACTTGAGGATGCGGACCCATTGGAAAACCAGAGGGTCCGGTAGGGAAATGCCAGGTAAGGTGCTGGGCTTTTGGTTTCCCCACTCTTGTCTTTCCAGGGCTCCATTCCACCTGGAGCCGGAGGAGGCGTGGTGGCCTTCTGTCCACGAAATGACGGCAGATCTTGTGGGGTGGGCTCAGGCCAGGGTAGAAGGGGCTTTGCGAAGACTGGAGTCCAACTCGTGCCTTAGATACCCAGAGAGAAATGGAGGCCCCTGGTGGGGGGAGGGCAAATGCAAAGGTCCCAGAGCAGCAATGGGAGAAGAGAAGTGGGGCTTCCCTCTGCCTTCTCTCCTACCCCAGTGCTAATCCTAGAACTTCTCCAGACTGAAGGTAGGAAGAGGAATCCATTGCTCATAACAGATTACATTTGTTGGGTGTACATGTCAAGTCAGTAGCCACAGGAACCCCAAAAGGCGGTTAAGAGGATTGATTCCCATTTTACAGGTTGGCAAAACAGAGTCAGAGAGGTTAAGTCACTTGTACGAAGTCACCCAGGCAGAATGGTGTTCGAAACTCCGGAATCCCTATTTTTGTCTGTAATACTTCTCCTTGGGTACCCGTTCCGAGCACGCACAGGAATAAACTCAGAGCCTCCTCCATGACGGAGCTGGATCTTTAAAGAGGTTGCCCCCCTTGGCATCTCCATACTGAGGTTGGCATCCCAACCATCTGCTCTTAAAGGGATGTTGGAATTCCCGGACTCCAAACTCACTGGTAAAACAAACGAGGGAGCCCTCAAGATCAAGCCCTCCCCTTCCAGGGATTCTGCCGCCAACCCAGCCACCTTGACTCCCAGTTCAGTGATCTCTGCCCTGAGGCAGGGCTGACCACCTGACAACCCCTCCCTGAGCAGCACGTTTCAAGCCTTAGGGTGCTGGGCGTTCCACTCGGTGGCTCCGCTGAAAGGCAAAACCAGTTAGGGGAGGCTGGGCGTCAGCCAAGGAGGTGTAAGCACCCGCCTCCGGGTTCAGACACAAGGCAACCCCACTGCCCAGTAATAACAGCACGCAGCCTCCATGAATCTCTTAGCCACCGAACTTGAAGCAGCTCAGGCTCCAGCAGAGTGGGGCAGCCACACGCAGGTGCACAGCCGGGGCCTGGCCTTGGTCCCCAGGCCTCCTTCCAGAGGCCTCCTGGACCCAAACGAGCCACCCGGCCTCCACTTCCATAGACCTGGTACTTCGAGAGGCACCCTCAGCCCATCAAAAAGCGATTGCCCCTTCCGAGGAAATGGGCTTGGACTGTATCAGAGCAAATTAATTTGACTTAACATGGCCTTCTCTCTGCTCTCAATTACCGGGAAGAGATGTGATATTCATTTACGTTATTATGCTCTCAGGGACACAGAAAGCAGTTTCAAAGGCCAAGTAAAGGGCACACGTCCATAAGGAGAACAGTTCTTAGCAGAAGTCATCACAGAACATCTTGTCTCTGCCATTTTTTTTTCCCCCCAGTGGCTTTTTCTTTTTTTTTTTTCTGCCATTTTTTTTTTAATTCAAGTTTTTCCCCCTCCCAGCAGCACTCACCGTGGTAACCGAGCATCTGCCAAAAAAAAAATCTTCCACGCTGACATCCACGCTGGAGGTTTGAGCTGAACAACACAGCCCCGCCCCCTGCGAGGCAAATGTATTAGGGGGTTCAGAACAAAGCAAGCCCCCCAAAGCTCGTTTCTCCTTGTAACTAACTGGCCATGAGACCTGGGGCAAGTCATGGGACCTGGTCAAGCTCCTGTGTCCACAGCTTGAAAACGGGGCTGATAATACCACCCCCCAAAGTAACACTGTGAGTTTGATGTGAACACCAGAGACCCCTAGCTAGGGTGTCAGGTTGCCCTGCACTCTGCCCTTTGGCCCTTCGGGAGCTCCGTCCCACTCATTCTCCTTCTGCTGCCTACCATCCTTCATTCCTTTGGATGGTGTTTCTGCAGGAATGCCACCCAGGGATATGGAATATCAGGGCCTCTGCCCCCCAAACACATTTCCTGCATCCTGTTGATCCACTCTTACCTGTGTTTGTTTCCAGCCTCCTGAGATGTACTGCCCTCCAAGACTTCCGGACTCCACGACTGTCTGGAGAAAGAGAGAGACCGGCCAGGCCTTCCCAGGGGCCCTCAGTCCAGAGCCGGCCAGCGTGGCTGTGCTCGAGAGGCCAGAGGGGTCCAGTAGGAGGCAAATCCCTCGGGCATGGGGATCCCAGCACACTTGGTCTGTACAAAATAAAGCAATGGCTCCTTGGCATCCATGCTTCCTCTCTGTTCTGTAATCAGGGGACCCTGGAGGTTTGATGGGGGCAGCCCGGGGAGAAGGGCTCCAGGGAATGGGATCAGCCTGAAATGTTTGTAGTTTCAAGTGCACACTGTTATTTCTCTGCCCCCATAAAACTCCACGCAATGGCCTTGCTCCTCTTCACTTGGCCTCGTCAACTCAAATGCCACCTCCTCTGGGAAGTCTTCCCTGATACATTGAACGGAAAGAAATGCTCGTTCTCCATTCTCCTTTAATTCTCCTATTTACCTCCATCATAGTTCCCTTGTCTGTCTAGTGATCTACCTTGTGTACATATGTGTAGGCAAGCATTCAAGAAATTTGGGTGGATGAATAAATGAACAAGCTCCCGAAAAAGTTAATGAACCTACACACCTTGAATGCGTGTGACATACTGACACAAATGCGTCTCCACCCACGTGCACCCATGTCAACATCCAAGCACCCATGAACATCAGCTCACAGCCCCCCCCATACACCTGCTTGCGTACACAGCCCTGCCACGCCCATGCAAATACGCACCTGCACGGCAGCCCACGCTGGCCTGGCCACATCTGGAGCTGGGATACCTGCTGCTTCAAACACCCTGGAAGTATTAGACTAAAACTGTAGGCTAATGTTTATTACTCACTCACATGCTACGTTGGACACCGTGCTAAGCATTTCACGTGGAGCATCGCACCACGACTTTAGAAAAAGTCCTGAGAGATAAATGCACTCATTATTCCCTATTTACAAAGGCAGTGCTAGCGTATGCCTACATGGAGGACGCCAGTGCTGCCCCTGTTTATATTCCCACCGGCAGAGACTCTGTCCTGCCCCAAATGTGCCTCTGTCCCTAGGGCCCCCCCACCGGGATAGCCAATCAGAGCTCCCTCTGTGTGTTAGCTTGCTAGGGCTGCCGTAACAAAGCACCACAAATGGAGGGCTTAAACCCCAAATGTACCGCCTTTTGGTTCTGGAAGCTAGAAGCCCAAGACTGAGGAGGGGTCAGGAGGCCTGGTTTCTTAGGAGGTCCCTCCTTGGCTCGTAGATGGCTGCCTTCTCCCTGGGTGTTCCCATGGCCTTTCCTCTCTGCGCGCATCCCTGCTTGTCTCCCCATGTGTCCAGATTTCCTCTTTTTTTTTTTTTTAAA